CCTATAAAAAAAAAAAAAAAAAAAAAAAAAACATTAAAAAAAAAATGCAATACAAAAGCACCAATTGAATGAATCACTGATTTTCAGTGGTAGTCTTTCCTTCCAGTATTTATTGTAGCTTTAATGCCTTACAAATGTAGAATTCAGATTTGCATTAACTCCCATTTAAAGTCACAACCATTTGTGGCATTTTTTAATGTATTTACTCTTCTGTCAGAATGTTTTCAGATGTTCCTGGAGGCAGTGGGCTCTCTTATCTATAGAGATTGCAAAGCTCTGACCCTGTTTAGATGCATTTGTTTTGATTTTGTGGTTATATTAGTTCTTCTTTGGGAAACCAAGTCTTGTTTTTAGTAGTGATTATTTTTTCTGTACCTATCAGTATGAAGAGGAAGGTATACTCGCTCACAGTGCCCCACGTTTAACAGAAAAAGTGAGTATGCCTGTTCCACTTTTATATGTCAGGTTTTGTGCCGAGTGAATATGTACGTGTGAGCTTAGTCGCTTTGGGCGACTCTTTGTATGTCTTCATATTAAGCCACTGGGAAATCATTTGAATTTTGTACTTGATCCTTCACCATATTGAATTGCCTGCTGAAAATAATGGATCATTGTTCAAAATAAAATATTATGGAAAAGATAGTTGACTACCCTGGAAAAATACCCAAAAAAGCGATGGCTTTACAGATGTGTGTGTGTGTGTGTGTGTGTGTGTGTGTGTGTGTGACACAGAATGAAAATTAATTTGGAGTGATGTAATAAATAGTTGAACATGGGTGGTTCCTTTTTAAGCCACCCAGTTTTCAGAGTAATAAAACCTGATGCTGGGTATCTGGACGTTTAACAACCCAGAGCAAGGTGGTGCAGCAGGGCTGGAGGACACTGTTTGTCTCGCCTGCTCGCCTCCAGCTGCCCCGTCCCAGATGGAACTGGGGTCCTGTCTCCTACGGCGTTTTTCTGCATTCGACACTCATGTAATCTGCTCTCGGCGAGCACTTTATCATGTTTCTTCTGCTTCCGTTCTTCACTCTTGTTATGATTTATAGAAACTTATTTTTTAAGAGGGCATGCCAAAATAATATGAGACAGATGAATGCACGGAGAGAATATTCTGTTTGCAAACTTTTTCATAAATCAAAGTTATCAGAAAATAAAGGCAGTTCTCGTTATTTGTGGCCATTATGTTGCATCGAGTCTCTGCAGATAGTGAATACGAAGTCCTTGCTCCTAGGAGAAATGCAGGATTTGGTTCCTGCCAGCCTCTGGTCATAACATTTTTGCCAACAGATAGATGCCTAACCTTGTTTTATGTATGTTTTTGTTTAAAGACACCATATTTAATACATAATGTTGATTCATTAACTTTGACTCACAGCCAACAGCTCTGGAGCGCATGCCTGGATGAAGGTTATCTAACGCAGGTCCATCCCCTGGAAGGCACGTCGTAACCTTCCTGCACTCAGGAACGCTAGACGGCATTTCGGTGTCTTGTCTGGGGCCAGTTTAAATACTGAAATCACCAACAAAAAGCACCTCAAATCCGCAAACAACATGGCACTAAACAGACCACGAAAAGCAAACTTGTTTACAGTTTGAGAGCTGAAATAAGAAGGCAGGGTGTGTCCTTGCTCGACCTCAGCCAGGAGTGTGCACCCAGGCAGAGTCCGGTGTTTTGCCGCTCTGCACATGTGCACGTCCGCAAATGATCATTTTAAGTCCCACAAGGATTGATTTGGGTTATAAATAAATTTCAGCGAGGAGATGAATTTGCAAATACAGAACCCACAAATGAACACTGGCTATAGCTTGAAATGATGAGCCTTGTATTGCTTAATCGGCTCCTGTGTTCCTGACCCTATTGCGTTCAAGGCAAAAGACATAAACCGTAGGGTCTTCTCTTTGTAGTCGGAGACCCGGGCAGCAGACATGCTGTCCTGTCTTGCATGACAAAATGCAGAGTTTCTTTGATTTACTCCTTGGCTAAACATTCACTGTGGGGCCTCACTCACTGCTCTGAGATCCTTCGATACTTCACCTCTAAGACATTGCCTAAGAGGGATGGCCTAGTGCCTTATTTTATGTAGCACACATTTCATAAGGAGTCAGGGGCATCTCTATACCGTACAGCACTTAATTTCTACTGGTGGGGAAAAAAGGTTATCATTATGAGGCTGGGGTAACTACTTTATGATATCTTAAAACTGGAGCCTGCTCACGACAGGCATTAGTCTCTTTATAAGCCTCTGAAACCCCAGTAAGAGAAGTTGAACAGGTATAAACAAGTGATTAACCACTCTTTCATTTGCTTTAAGCAAACAGTTTAATTAGCACAGTACATCGCCCATCACTTGGCTCCGAGCAAACCTTCAGAGGCTCAGAACTGCCTGCACCAAGGCAATCCACAAGGGAGAGGTTTGTTAGCGGTTGTTTTGTTTAAATCGTATCTTTTTCCTACTGTATTTCAGTGTAATATTATAAATGCCATATTAATAAATACTTTGTTTTATATTTATTACCAACGGTAACTTATAATCTGTCTTTTGAAATGCAGACATTCAACAAGCTTGTGGGAAGATTTAGCCAGTCAGTCTTTCATTTGAATTTAACACAAATACTCTCAGCAACAATGGAAGGGAAGCTGGTTGTCTGGGACATATACCGCCCCCCATCGCCCGCCTCCGCCTCTCCAGGCTTTCCTTATATCAAACCTTGTAAATTGGTTCATTTGCAGAAGGAGGGCATCACTGTGCTTACTACAGTTGATAGGTAATTAACTTAATTAAAAAGTAGCTATCAAGGATTACAAAAGTATTTGAAAAACCTTTTGGATGTATACATGTATTTTGTATATGCATAGAATATTTCTGGGGAAATTCATTGTTAACTGGAAACGTCTATTGCCTCTGTGGAAAAGAACAGAGAAGTAAGATCAGAGCGGGGGTTTAGATTCACCTCTTTTTATAGTCTCATTTGTACTAATTGGTTTGCTTTTATTATTATTTTTTTTAATCATGGGCATGTATTACTTTAAAAAATCACTTTGTGTTGGTGAAACAAAAAGTAACGTGTCTATTCTTCCACACTAATTAGACTTTATTTTGCACCCTAAATTTTACATACTTTAAGAAAATAACATGAATAAGTATGTTGGTTTTTTTTTTTTCTTCTGATTACAAAATAACAACCACCCGAGCACCTGAGTAGCTCAATTGGCTGAGCATCCGACTTCCACTCAGGTCATGATCTCACAGTTTGTGAGTTCAAGTCCCACTTCAGGCTCTCTGCTGTCAACATAGAGCCTGCTTCAGATCCTCTGTCTCCCTCTGTCTGTTCTCCCCCGCTGGTTCTCTTTTCCTCTCTCTTTCTCTCTCTCGGAATAAATAAATAAACTTAAAAAACTTACCCAATATGAGAAGATGAAATACAACAGACATTTATGAAGTTCACTGACTTGAGAGGCTATGGGGGCTCAGATAAAAAGGGGTTCACATAATAGATGCATCTATTCTTTGCTGAGGGACCCTGGGCAAGGGACTTTGCTGAGCCTCCACTTTTCCATCTGTAAAATGGGCATAACAATACTATCTCTCTCAGAGTGATTTTATGAGGATTTTGTGAGACAAGGCATGTAAAACTTGTAACACATCGTCTGGCACTGGGGAGCTCTAGGTGAAATAGTATTAGTATGCTAGAGAACTTCCCAAAAGTAGTGGAGAAAATTGCCTAATGACAAGGGCCATGCCCATATGGTTGGAGCCACTGTGCCATCTGCTTTCCAAAAGCCCTGCTTTCATTTTCATTTCTTTTAATAAAGGAAGCAGTGAGCGTCTACTAGCATGGCTTTTCAAAGAGAAATGCAAATTGTCCTCACGTAGTGGTGTGGAAAAGACAGTCATGGAATTGCATTTGATGATGAACCAACCTTTAATTAGTTGGGGGTTAGGACCCAGTGAAGATCAAGCCTCAGTTTCCCTCTCTCCATGTTAAATAAAACCCAGGCAGGACCAGGGAGCCCATGAAGGAAAAGTCTTGAAAATACTTGGCCCATTTTGCCTTTTCTGTCCAGCAGAGGGCAGTGAAAGGTGTTCTAGCCAATTACTCTGCCCACCTGCCTCGCTTATTAATCAGAAACCTCATTTAATCACTTTGCATATATGAGAGGAAATTCAACCCCCTGCTCCCCCCCCCTTGATTAGAGTTATGTCAGAGGCTTTTTTAAAAAGCCCATTTGGGATGGATGTGAGGACTGGAAATAAAAGCCATTTTGTCACGCAGCACTGCCTTTGGCTGTGATAACTGGACAGGGTTTTACGATGGCTCTAACAACAGTGCCTTCCTGTAAAGCAGCTTGTGTCCTATTGCCAGGCTGGGTGATTTCAGAGAGCTGGTAGATGGATTCACAGCAGAGAATGTAAATCACTGCCCACTGCCACTGCACATGGCTGGCCTGGGAGGGAAGGGAGAGTAGAGCAAGAGCGTGGACTTTACATTAGATAGCCTGGGTCCCCGCCTAGGCTAGCCACAGGGTCTGATAAGGTTGCCTTGTATAAGTATGTCCCGTGCACTATTTGGGACATAATTCTAAAAGATTACTCATTGTTTAACTGAAATTCAATTTTAATTGGGCAACCTGCATTTTGTTTGCTAAATCTGGTGACCCCAGGCCTTGAGCAAATTTCTCAACTTCTCTGAGCCTGAGTTTCCTAGACATAAAGTGGAATAACAGTAAAATCAGCCTTGGAGGGTAGTATGAAGTCAAGTTTTTACAACTCCCGGAGTCCAGAGCCTGACATATAATTAGCTGTTCAATAGATACCTGGTCCATACTACAGTTGGTTAACAAACTCAGGTTTTTCTCCATTTCAGCTATATTGTCACAGGTGACATTAGAGGTAACATTAAGTTCTACGATCGCACCCTGTCCATTGTTAACTGGTACAGCCACTTTAAACTGAGCCCCATAAGGACCCTGTCCTTTTCAAGGACCCCAGCAGCTCCGCCTACCGAAAAATCAAACTATCCTCCAGACTGCACTTTAAAAGGTGACCTTTTTATCATAAGGTAAGTTGTTAATTAATCTAGTCATTTGAGGGGCCAAAAAAAATGATTGGTGTCTTGTGGTTCGCATGCGGCTATGTGATAGAATGGGGTTTCTCAGTCCTTCACAGGGCTCGAAGATGGATCTCCAAAGCTGATTATCATCCCTATTTAATCATTTTTAAAAATGAGGCATTATTTTCATATTAAGAATCTTTAGCAACTGGAAATTGGAAAGGGCTTATTTACTCCTGAGCTCTGATCTGTGTTGTATTTGGGGTCCCTCGCTGTAGCTTGGTGTCTCTTCTCCAGGCCAAGTTTGCCCTAGCGCTGCGGTTAAAGGCGTTTGATAATTAATAGCCATAACATTTCGAGACTGAATTATCTGCGAGTCTGCTTAATTACCCTTGCCGTATTTGCAGGCACATCTGTATGTGTGCACCAAACTCCATATTTGCATACACAAATGAATATTTGCATGTGCAGATTAGCTAATTGTACAACTGACTGTCCATCTGCATACTTAATGACTCAATTTACATGTAGAAATGTGGGCTTTTTCACTTGCAAATGGAAGCTGTTGGGTATTGGTAGTATATTTTTGGAGATGGTGGGTTAATAATGTCACTAAATTACAGACGACAGAGGCGTTTCATGTGCAATTAGAAGCAGTATTCTGCTGGCGTGCCCCGCTCCCTGCAAACGCGATACTGTCTGGTCTCTCCTTGGCAAACAGGAATCTTATCATTGGAACATCTGATGCTACAGTGTACCACTTAACGACAGATGGGACCAAACTTGAGAAGTTATTCGTGGAGCCCAAGGAAGCCATTTGTGCCATCTCCTGCCACCCATATCAACCCCTCCTCGCCATTGGCAGTTTCTGTGGGATGATCAAAGTGTGGGATTATGAAAAGAAAAAATACCTTTTCAGCAGGGTCTTTGAGAAGGGGCTCGGCATCCAGAGTCTAACCTATAACCCTGAAGGTATTTTCATTTCATCTGCCTCGCTTAGCCTCCAAATTAAAAACAGACCCAAATGGCTACAGTCCTTGGCTATAACAGCTCCAGGACGTTCACGTTGACCGCACTCCCCCCAGCAGGCCAGATGACACACCTTGTCCCTCTGGACCTTGCAGCGCCCTGTGCCTAGTAGTCGCTGAGCACTCATCCCAGAGCCTCATGCTTGTCAGTCTGTTTCTCCATCCAGGGGCCGTGTCTGCCTTGTTCACTGCTGTCTCCTCAGCACCAGAACAAGGCCTGGCCTGGAGTCCATGACTCTTGAATGAATGAAGTCCTTTTCCAGCATTGTTCTCTGGCTTGTGATTTCAGGAGACCTTCTTGGAGCTGGCTTCACCGAGGGGACAGTTTATATCCTTGATGCAATGTCCTTAGAAAACCAAATCCCAGAGCCTTTCAAATATTCCAGAACCAGCGTGACTCACATCAGCTTCTCCCATGACTCCCAGTACATGGCAACTTCTGTAAGTTTTTCCACCGCGCGATGTCCAGTGGTCTCGCAGCCTTGTTTACGACCAGGAAGGGAAAGAAGGCTGGGGGCGGGGGCTGGGGAGTGACTGCTGATGGGTTCAGGGTTCTTTGTGGGGTCATGAAAATGCTCTAAAATTGTGGCATGGGTCCCTGTGAGTACACTAAAAACCACAGAGTTGCACACTTCAAAGGTGTGAATTGTGTGGTGTGTGAACGCTATCTCCACAAAGCTGCTTTAAGGTGGGTGGGGGAGACTGTCGCTCGAAAATGAGACCAGGCCTCTGGACCCGCGGACTGGGATTTGGCCATCCCGACAGCTTGTTCTGGTGTGTTGGTTTCTGGACCCCTTTCTGGGCATCCATTCTTTCATCTTTCCCTTTGATTTTTGACAAGATGACATTCTCATTTATCTCAAAGCACAGTCTTCCCCTGGTGCTTGGATTCTGTTCCTTCCCTCTGTGAATAGGGCTCTTAAGCTCACTAAAGATCTTCCGAGACCTTTAACCCCTCCCTTCCTGCCAGCTCTCCTGGTCCGCACTGCGCAAGTCTTGCCTTGATGTGGGGTGAGGAGGAAGAGCCTCCGTGTCCCCAGTGCTCTCCCACCCCTGCCTCTGTGCCCAGCTCCTCCTCTGGCCCATGTGCTCCCTGCCTGCCAGAACAGCCCGAAGCTGAGCCTCTGCTCCCCTGCAACACCTGACTCTGGCACCTCCTCCCCTTCAGGCTGGTCTCACACACTATCCTACCCAGTTCACGCTCAGCTATGATACTATTTAGAACTTACATCTTTTTAGTTTTGTGTAGCTGGATACAGGGAAGGGAGGACAAAGGCAAAAGAGTCAGGGTTTCGGTTTTCTACACAGAATGAGGTGGGGGCCAGAAAGAGGGGTAAGGCCACAGCGTCAGTGTCTCCCTCCCCTGCAATTACCTTTGTGGGTTATCTGTTTTTAACCTTAATTTTTTCATCTGTAAAATGGGTATTATTTTATTACTTGCTCTGATAGACTAAAATTTCTTTCTGGAGTACATAGTCTTCTTTATTATTTTTTTAAGAGAGAGAGCGCCCATGTGAGTGGGGGGAGAGGCAGAGGGAGAGGGAGACAGAGAATCTCAAGCAGGCTCCATGCTGTCATCAGGCCTGACACAGGCTCGATCTCACAACCCTAGGATCATGACCTGAGCTCACATCAAGAGTTGAATGCTCAACCAGCTGAGCCACCCAGGTGCCCCTTGGATAAAATATTCTAATGGCAACATTAGTATAAAAAACATGATGATGATTTTTAAGTAACAAAACCTAAAAAGGAATGACTTGTACTCTTTTGGTCCTCTTCAGGATGTACGATTTACTGTGTCTGTTTACATGGTGGTAGTCAGAGATGGACACAGGGTCTGGGAGTATCTGGCAAGACTTCGTTCTCATCGCAAAAGCATTCGCAGTCTCCTGTTTGGGGTTCATCTGGACAGCAATGTGCCAAGACTGCTGAGCCTCGGGAAAGACAGACTCTTGGTGAGACATTCAGTGTCCGTTTACCTCCTCACGGGGACCGTGTGTATTTCATTCTCATTGTGTCCCTGGCATCTGGCATAGCACTAGGCCCATAGTGTGTGTTGGAGAAAATGAGTGTACAGCACAACCAGTAGCATAAACATCCCTGGGTTGATGCTTGGTCTCAAGGATGTGCGAAAGCAATGCTCCTTCAGTAGAAACTGCATTTGGAATGTTGGATCTGGATCCTGCCCCGGGCTAGCGATCCACGGGCCCCGTCCTCTCCCGCGATCCTGGGCAGCAGCCGCAGCAACCAGTCAGCCACGTGGTCGGGAGGGTCCACAGCCGGTATGCAGACAGCCACCTGCACCCACATGGCTGTTCCGTTTGTCATTTTCAGTACAGGATTCAGTAAATTACATGCGATAGTCAACACCCCATTATAAAATAGGCTTTGTGGTAGATGACTGCCCACCAAGAGCTCGTGTCTGTGTTCTGAGCACGTCTGAGGACGGCCAGACTAAGCTGTGGAGTTCCCTAGGGTAGGTGTGTTAAATGCATTTTTGACTTACGATAGGTTTATTGGGAAGTAACCCCATCGTGAGTCAAAGAAAGTCTGTTTCTATCCATCTTAACTTCCTTCCTCGCTCCCTCCCTTTCTTCCATCTCCTTCTCCCCTTTATAATGGCCATCCTAGTCTGGCCACCAAAATCTACCTATGGGTGAAATTTAGCAAGCTGCTAATTTATGACAGTCAAGTGCTAAGATTTAGGTATGAATTCGTTCCTACCCTGGAAGAATTCCCAAGAGAATGGTAAGAGGGACAGCATAACACAATTGTGAGAGTTCAGGTTTTGGGGTGAGTAAGAACCTAAATTTGAATTCTCACCCTACCACTTCTTAACTGTGGGACCTTGGGCAAGCCACTGAACCTCTCTGAAAAGGTTTTCTAATCTCTAAAGTAGGCACAGTGGTACGACTTGACAGGGGAGTCAAGAGTGTTAAATGGCATCATGTTTTTAGAGTGCTCAGCTCACTGTCCTTGCTCAAAAGGAATGCTCCATATTGGCAGTTTATCAGGAGTGAGGGCCCAGGCAAGTCTTCTCTTAGGAGCCCAGTGATGTCTCCCCCAGAATGAGACTGTTGGTTGACTTCATTTGGCTCAGTCCTCACGTGTGTGCATCTGGGCTCCTCCGCAGATCGAGTATAATCTTCTTAAGAGCTCCAAAGACCACCTGGAGGTCCTGGACATTCACCGAACCGATCAGGACAACCATCCCACCTGTATGGTCTGGTACCCACCGCTCACCAAGGAACTCTTCCTGCTCATTTGCAACAGTGGCTACAAAGTGAAACTTTTTAATTCTACCACGAAAATGTGCAGGTAAGCAGCAGGAGGCTCTCACTGATGTGATGTAGAAGTCAGTTTGTCAGCTCCCAGCTTGTGTCACGTCCCAGCTCCTGGACCCATGAGCCTCTTAACTACCTGTACTCACGCTCACTTTGTAGAGGAGGAAAGCAAAGCATGGAAAAGTTGAGAAATTCTCACCCAGGGTCACATGGCTGGGAAGTTGCCAGAGGCAGGATGCAAATCTAGAGCCCTTGCGTCTGAGCCCAGCCCTGCACAGAGATGAGGGACCCAGAGCTCAGTGCCTGATACCCAGTGAAGGAACCTGAGAAGTTGTTGATGCTTTATAAGCTCTCCTATCCTTCCCTCATGGAAAAAAACAGACATTGTCACTTGAATGCTACCAATTGTGTGATTTTTAAAAAATATTTTATTATTTTTTTAAAGTAACCTCTAGACCCAACGTAGGGCTCAAACTCACAACCCCAAGATCAAGAATCACATATTCTGCCGACTGAGCCAGCCAAGTGGCCCTAATTGTGCATTTTTTCCTTACTCTTGGTTCCTAAAGGAGTTTTTAAGTTTACCTGATGGCATTTGTGTGTTCACGCAGTATTCACCCCGCCTCTACCTGAGCCAGGTTCTGTCCGAGGTGCTGAAGGTGGAGATGTAAACAGCATTGTTCCTGCCGCCATGGGATTTGCATCTTGGAGGGGAGAGTGGAGTTCATGGGAGTTCTGGGCTGGGCTGCAGGTCCACATTTGAGGTCAGGAGCACACGGTACTCTAAAACCATGAGATGGGAGAAGATTCCAGAAGGGAAAAGTGTATAGAGGAGCAGCTGAAGGACCAAGCCCAGGGCATCTACAAAGCTCAGCCTCTCAGAGCAGCAGCCTCTCCATCCTGAAGTAGGTCTTTGTCTGTGCTTGGCCCTTGTGCTGCTTGCCCTGGTTCCCAGGGTTTGCTCCTCATGAGAGATGTAGATTATGGCGCACCATCCCTGCACCAGGGCTTTGCACTCATCTTCAACAACCCGCCCAAGTATTATCCCACTGAGGTTCTGAGGCAATGGAACTTGCCATTCAGGACAAGATGAGTCTTAATCCTTGAATCTAGTCCTGATTCTGCCCCCTACTTGGCATGCTTGGGCCCCAGTGCAGCCCTGGCTTTGGGGTCCTACCTAGTCAGCTCTAGAGGGCATCCCCTCTCTGCTTGTGGTTTGGCTGCCTTGTGGTAGGGCTGGAAAGAGCAGAGGCACAGAGGTGAGAATTCATTAGTGACCTCACTTGGGAGAAGGAAGTGAGAAAACTGGCCAAAGCAGCTGGCCCCATGCTTGAGAAAGAGCATTGTTTTGAAATGTTTCTCAGTAAGATAGGTCCTCAGAGGATCACCATCATATTCCTCCTCCTCCTCCTCTTCTCCTTCTCCTTCTCCTTCTCCTTCTCCTTCTTCCTTTTTTAAACATTTGTTTCCAGAAGGGTATAAGGAAAAATGACTGAGAAATGCTATGTCATGTGGCATGAATAGGAAAGAAATCCAGCACAATTTTTTTTTAATATTAAAACACTGGGAAGGTGACATTTGAAAGATACATGGCAAAAGAATTTTAGGAGGATCTCAGAATCTTCATATATCATCTTTAATGGAAACAAAACTTTTGGACATGGACTATCCCATAGATATGCAAGTCCTGAGGAAATCTGACTTTGCTGAGCAGATTGGGGATGGAGGGCCCCAGGCTCTAAGTTCCTGCTAATAGTTACTACACAGAGACTTAGAGCCACACAGTTAGGAGTTTCTGCCATTGATAATCAATTGGAAATTAGCATAAGGCATCTTTTCACTTTTACTTAAAAATTTCTTTTCATACAGCATCTTTTATTATTGTTTTCAGAGAGTCAATGTGAGTGGGGGAGGGGTAGAGGGAAAGGAGAGAGAGAAATGTCAAGCGGACTCCATTTCTGAGTGTGAAGCCCAAAGTGGGGCTTGATCTCACGACCCCAAGATCACGACCTGAGCTGAAATTGAGTCAGACATTTGACCAGCTGAGCCACCCAGGTGTCCCTTAAAAAATAATTTATCAAAGTGAAATTCAATAACACAAAACATAAAAACTAGGGATGCCTGGGTGGCTCAATCAGTTCAGTGTTCGACTTCAGCTCAGGCCATGATCTCATGGTTCGTGGGTTTGAACTTTGTGTTGGGTTCTGTGCTGACAGCTCAGAGCCCGGAGCCTGCTTCAGATTCTGTGTCTCCTCTCTCTGCCTTTCACTCACTTACACACACTCTCTCTAAAAAATAAACAAATATTTAAAAAAACATAAAAACTAACCATTTTATTTTTTAATGTTTATTTATTTATTTTTGAGAGATAGAGAGAACACAAGCAGGGTAAGGGCAGAGAGAGAAAGGGAGACAGAGAATCCAAAGTGGGCTCCAGGCTCTAAGCTGTCAATGCAGAGCCTAGCATGGGGCGTGAACTCACAAACTGAGATCATGACCTGAGCCAAAGTCGTATGCTTAACCGACTGAGCCACCCAGGTGCCCCAAAACTAACCATTTTAAAATGAACAATTCACTGGCATTCACAATGTCATGCAACTACCACCTGTATCTAGTTCCAAAACATCTCCATCACTCTCAAGTAAAGCCACTTGCATAATGCATCTTTTAAGTTGTAGGAATAATAAAGTCTCATAAATACACTTACTTGGGTAAGAAGTGCCTTTTCATGATAAATCCAAAATAATTTTAACATGCATTACAAAATATTTAGACCTTGAAAAGGCAATTTGCAGAAAAGGGCCGATAAACCTATTCACTAGTGTATCAGAGATGTAAATGAAAGCAAGACATCATTTTTCATGAACCAGATTAGCAAATATAAAGATGACCAGCAGTGCACAATGTTGGCAAGGATATAGGGGGAGTGGGCACTCTCACTGCCTGCTGGGGAGATGTGGAAACTGGGGCATCCTTTGGGAGAGCAATTGTTACCCACTGTTAATTTGTTAATTTGTTAATCTGATATCTAGGAATGTCACACATCCTCACACAGTATGCTAAGACATAAGTAAAAGGATGTTTTGCTTGAAAATATTTTCAAAAGTGGAAACAATCCAGATGTCCATTAATAGGGGATTAGTTAAATGATGGCTTGTCACTACACTGAAATCTCATACTGCTTGTAGAAAAGATAAAAAGAGAGGTAGCTGGAAGGCTGGGTTAAACATCTGACTCTTGATCTCAGCTCAGGTCTTAAACTCAAGGTCGTGAGTTCAAACCCCACACTGAGCTCTGCGCTGGGTGTGAAGCCTACTTAAAAAAAAGAAAGAAAGAAAAAGCTCTCTGTGTAGCATCATGGAAATATCTCTGTGACATACTATATTATCATATACAATGGTGTTTCTATAATTTATATAATTTTCACATAAAATTCTAATTATATAGGTTAGAATACATAAAAGAAATTCTCAAGTTCCAGACACCAAACTATTATCCATGATTATCTTGGGATGAAAGAGTGCAGCAAAGTGGGGGTCTAGGTAGATTTTCTATCTTCTGTGTGTCTAAATGTGTGTAATTGTTTACAATGAATATGTAATACTTTTTAAATCAGATACAAAAGATACTAACTTTATGAAATTGTCAGATGTGTCAGATGTTTTACATAGCTCCTACTATGTGCTAGAAATTGTTCCCAGTGTTTTGTGTATATTAACCTACTTAATGTTTACCACTGTCTTCTGGGCCGGGTGCTGTCATTGTCATTGTCCCCGCTTACTGTTGAGGAAGTGAAGGCACCGGGGGAGGGGGGGCGCTGAATAGTTTGACCCTTTTTAAAAAAATGTTTGTTTATTTTTAATTTCTGAGAGAGAGAGAGAGAGAGAGAGACATCGTGAGCAAGGGAGGGTCAGAGAGAGAGGGAGACACAGAATCTGAAGCAGGCTCCAGGCTCTGAGCCAGCTGTCAGGACAGAGTTCGATGTGGGGCTCGAACCCACGAACCCGTGAGATCATGACCTGAGCTGAAGTCGGATACTTAACTGACTGAGCCACCTAGGTGCCCCAAATGTTTATTTATTTTTAAAAGAGAGAGATAGAGCACGAATGGGGGAGGAATAGAGAGAGAGAGAGACAGACAGAATCCGAAGCAGGCTCCAGGCTCTGAGCTGTCAGCACAGAGCCCGACGTGGGGCTCAAACCTATGAACCATGAGATCATGACCAGATGCCCCTAGTTTGACCTTTTTTTTTTTTGCTTAAATTAAGATGTATTTTACATCAAAGAATTTACCCCTTTTCTTTCTTTTTTTAAAGTTTTTCCCTTTTCAATGGTTTTTACTATATTCACAAAGTTGTGCAACTATTACCACTGTCTAATCCAAGAGCATTTTCATCACCCCAAAAACAAACCCCACACCCATTAGCAGCCACCCCCCTCATACCCTCCTTCCTTCCTTTCTTGACTCCCGCCCCACCCCTGACAGCCACCAGTCTGTGTTCTGTCTCTGTGCCTTTTGCTATTCTGGATATTTCATGGAATCATACACTGTGTGATGTTTTGTGTGTGGCTTCTTTCACTCAGTGTCCTGTTTTCAGGGTTCATCTGTGGCGTGGCGTGTTTCAGTGTTCTTTTTTTATGGCTGAATAATACTCTGTTGTATAGGTGTACCCCAATTGGGGGCGCCTGGGTAGCTCAGTTGGTTAAGTGTCCGACTTCAGCTCAGGTCATGATCTCACAGTTCGTGAGCTCAGGTCCTACATCAGTCTCCGTGCTGACAGCTCAGAGCCTGGAGCCTGCTTCGAATTCTGTCTCCGTCTCTCTCTGACCCTCCCCTGCTCACACTGTGTCTCTCTTTCAAAAATAAGTAAACATTAAAAAAAAAAAAGATCTACCCCATCTGTCTATCCATTCACCCATTGGTGGGTGTTGCTGTTGTCTCTGTGTTGGGCTCTTATGAACATTTGTGTGTGGATTTCTGTGCAGATACATGTTCCATTTCTCTTGGGTAGAGAATTGCCAGCTCACATGGTAACTGTTTAACCACGATGACGAACTGCCAGACCAGTTACCAAAGCAGTGCCACCCGCTCATGTTCCCACTGGCGGTGGGTGACAGCCCCACGTCCTCCACGTGGGGTTCACATCAGTCTGCTCTTAGCCATAGTCTCCCCGCCTCTGTCCACTCAGGAATACTTGGGAGAGGTCCTCGGACATCCCTACACAGGGTGACTGGTGGCGAACCAGCATGTGGTCCCTCAGGTGGACATTTAGAACTTCTGACATTTCACCTAAGTCTCCACGTGTATGAACTTGACCATGGCTCATCCAACCTGATCCCTCCCAGCCCCCCCGCAGCATCCTGCAGCCTGGCCGGCATCTGCTCTCACAACTCGCCCTACTGCCCTCCACCTCCCGCTCCTTCCCCCTTACGCTTTCCTTCTGCAGCTTTCCAACAACAGCCCATCTTCCACACCCTCGCAGAAGATGCCTGTGTGAGGCAGAGTCCCGAAGCTCCTGTTTTGCTAGCTTCAGGGAAAGTCCTCCTCTGGGCTCAGGGTGACATCCCATAACCTTGCATCAGATTAGATTCCTAACAGAGTTTGAGCGAAAGAAGTCTGACCATTGGCGGAGGTACAATTCGTTACAATTTGATTCACAGACGGTTTTTTGGGAAGTCTCTGTGTTGCGCTTGGACCTGCGTGTCACGCGTCTGGAACAACAGATGGCACCTGACGTAATCTCTTGGCCTACCACCGGGGAAGGGGTGTTTTCCTGCATCCCGCCAATGCTTGTCACTCGTTCACCGCCTTTTTCACGTCCCTTGTTCCTGTACACATTCTCGAGGCACAATGTTCCCTCACTCGGCTGTCAGGGAGGGAAGTCAGAGCCTCCACCACGGAAAGCATCTTCACAATCAGACTTTCCCTGGAGTGTTTACGGTTTGGGGCTTGGCCCCTTATTTATGGCAGCTGTTAGCAGCGGTTGAGAGAGGTTCTTAGCTGAGTGACGGGATGGGAAATTCTGAATTTAAAATGAATACAGTATCAGGAAAGGTAGCTAGTCAGGAAAACTACATTCAGATTTGTGGAATTAAAAAAATGTTTTTTTTTCTCATGCAGAAAGACACTTCTTGGGCCAGTTTACGGCTCTTCCATTGAGCAGGTACAGATCCTCCCTGTGAAAAGCACCTTGGACCTGCAGAAACGCTACATGGTGTTTATTAACAGAGACAAGGTATTGGCCTTTGCTCTCTGCCTCTGTGAGATGACTCTGTGGGTTTTCAGGGGCACAGCCCTAAGTAGGATCAGACTCTAGGACGCTGGGTGTCATAGCCAAGCCCCATTACTTGTGTCCTAGTCAATCAACAGTGATACTGTAGTTTGCCATTGATGAGTGAAAATGGGTCTTAGGAGGCATTTTTGAACAGAGTTAATTGTATTTTCTGTACTCTCGTGAAGACACATGGTCACCAAAGGATTTTTTTCTTCCTGATTTATTTACGTGGAAAAATCTGATAAAGATGTGCAAAGTAGTTACACTTAGTTCTACATTTGATAAATAATCTATTGAAAAGCACAAAATCATAGGATTCCAGAATTAACCAGGAAATCCTTGGATATCTGACTATTTGCTTGAAGACAAGCAAAAGCTTCCTTCCTGTGTCTCTACCGGGACCTGGTGTCTCTCTCCTAAGGGACCGCCCCACAGGGGTCAGTGTGTGTGAGCCCCTGGCCACGTGAAATGTGCGGCTCTCACACACTGAGGTGGCTCCAGACGCACGTGTCCTTCCGGTAAAAAGAACCGGAAGTAACACATGAATGTGCCAGGCCTTGGCCTGGGCCCCAGTGGTCTGAATCTGAAATTCCGATTACATATTCCTCCCTAGGTTGGACTTCAGATCTTACCAATCGATGGCAATCCACATAAGACATCTGCTATTATATGCCACCCAAGCGGGGTGGCTGGAATGGCCCTTTCCTATGACGGGTGTTATGCCTTCACAGCAGGAGGGCGGGATCGATCGGTGGTGCAGTGGGAAATCAACTTAAGGTAGGTGGTGAGGCAAGAACCCTACCCCACAAGGAAGGTGTCAAGCATAGATGCTCTTTTCTTAATGTTTGTTTATTTTTGAAAGAGAGAGAGACGAGTGAGAGTGGGGGTGGGGCAGAGAGAGAGACACACACAGCATCTGCAGCAGGCTCCAGGCTCTGAGCTGTCAGCACAGAGCCCAACGTGGGGCTCGAACTTACAAACTGCAAGATCATGACCTGAGCTGAAGTCAGATGCTCAACTGACTGAGCCACCTGGGCACTCCCAGACCCTCTTTTCTTAACCAGTAACAGCAGACGGGTGTTCAACCCCTACAGGCCTGGAGTTCAGGTTCCTGCCCATGACATCTGTCCATACCGATGGACACAAAAGGTTACTATTCACTACTACTTGCAGCGAAGGCAGCATGCCTCCACTGTGTTCAGTGTGGCCCCTGAAATACTTCCTACTCTGTTACCTACATTCCCACCAGCCACAAAGATCGTGCCCAAATCTCCCAAGCGTGTGTAACAGAAATAGTAGGAATCTTATTTGAAACATGTGTGTCCACTCTGCTCTTCTCACGCACGTGCCCTGAGCTGAGACGCCCTGTCCCGGGCGAGGCTGGAGAAGCCCGGGATTGAGCATCGGAAAGTACCCGTGCTTTGAGGTCCAAGAGACAGGTTTGGATGTGGAGCCTATTTTCTGCTGGCTGTGCGACCTAGGGCATGTTTCTTCACATCTCTGATCTTTAGATTCCTTGTCTGTGAAATGGGGGGTGGGGGGGAGGAGGGTAATAATAGGGACTTTAATAGGGTCCTTGTAAGGATTAAGTAGGTTAATACAGGGAAAGCACCTGGCACAGAGCTAAGGCTCAGTACATTTTTCCTCTCTTCCATTCTTCCTTGTGAAGGTCTTATTAAAGAGCCTTCCCGAAAAAGGGGGCAAGTACTACGGTAACCCTCTCATCTACCCAAATTCACTGAGCTGCCACATGGCAGAGCCAGTGCCCATCCCCGAACACCTTCTCCCAGCCCCTGCCTCTCAGACGCTGCCAGGCAGTGTCCCATTGAAGAACTGGTACAGACAGCACCTTTTAAAGAATCCTGCCTTCCTTCGATTCATGGCTCCCAGTGAAAGTGTATCCCCTGCCAGCTGCCAAGCGGACGTCTTTCTTTTACGGCAGACATTGAAGCTTCTTTGTCTTAACCTGAATATGAGCACAAGTAGCCAGGTAAGTCTGCTCTGGATCCTCGCTGGCTCCAGGCTGCAGTTGCAACTCTGACCTTCACCTAGGAGAGCAGATCGTGGGAAATTGGGAATTTGGAAGCTGGAGGTGAGCTCTCACACTGAAAAGTGCTTCCCGATTGTGTGACCGGCTGGTCCCTAGAACAGTAGGGGCGAGCCGCACCCTGCTGAGAGAACAGAATCCAACCCCCCCACCACACCCTTTTCATTTTTGTCTTCTCAATAATAATGGTAGAGATTAAAGAAAAAAAAATAGGCACCCGCTTTCCAATGGCTTTCCTGGGCCTGGCCAGAGTCCAGGCTTCTGAGAATTTCAATTTAATCTGTTGTGGGGACAAAGGATCATTATAAGCTAATTAGCACTTCATTGCTGCTTCTGGTGTCTTAATATGTTCAGTGCTTCACTAATGGGAAGAAATGTAACAACCCTAAACAAGTAAACAAACAAAATTCCCTGCTAGTCTAATGTTGGTGAGTCATAGGGTGAAGTAAAGATGTTAAGTCCGCTCATGTTCCCATGATTTTAATCTGGGTGCTCCTGGGCTCAAATACCATCGCTGCAGCACATGGACCTTCTCCAGGGCAGACCCCTTCCTTTTATCTTCTCCTGGGGTTCATTTCACACATCCCATGCTGTGCCTTTGCTCTGTCTTTGCTGGTATGCTACTCGTTTCCTCCCCTTGTCTGGCTCCTGTTTGGTTTTTATGGGTTTGTTTGTTTGTTTGTTTAGAGTGAGCGGGGAAGTAGGGCAGAGGGAAAGAGAGAATCTTAAGCCAGGTTCCATGTTCAGTGTGGAGCCTGACTCAGGGCTCGATCCTAGGACCCTGGGATCATAACCTGAGCCAAAATCAAGAGTGGGACGTTCAACTGACTGAGCCACCCAGGCACCCCCGGCACCCGTTTTTAAACCCCCCATTGCTTTTTGTATGCTCAACCTCATACCCACCTGGGGTCCAGCTGCTGTGTTCAAACAGGAGCGGAAAGACTCAGATTCAAATACCACCGTTCCTGCCTGCTTGCTCTATGACCTCAGGCTAGTAGTCTCTTAACTTCTGAGTCTCAGTTTCTCCGTCTGTTAAATGGGAATACCATCAGTGTTTTGAGGGTAAAGATGACCACTGCTGCTGTTCCTTGCCTGCCTCCTCCCCCAGGGGGCATTTGCTAAACACTTACTGTGTGCTAATTACAGTATTCGCTGCTTCTCCTGACTGGGCTCCTGTCCCACAAGTGTGTCTCAGCACACAGTAGGTTTTCAATAAGTATACTTCCCCTTTGTGCCCTAACGACCCCCTTTTCTTTGTTGCAAGTATTAGAAAGCCAGCTGAAGCACAAAGGGAGATCAGTGAGAAGGTCATGGGCATCTCAGGTAACCACGTTGCAGGAGGCTCAGGGACTGTGTGTACTCGATGCCCTCTCCATTTGCTCTCTGCCCGGCTCTGCTACTGGCTTCATTCTCTGCACAATGGATTTTGTCACCCAGAGGGAACATGGCCACTAACAGTCCTCAGAATTCACAATCTGGAGCTCTCAACACACAGGGAGTGGGTCTCTTTCCCCAGCTCTGCTTGGACAAGCCAGTCCCGTCCCTCTTGCTCTCTGGGGTCATTCGACGGTGGCCAGGAAGCAGGGCACAGAGCACAGTCCTGACCACCAGAGTGCTGTTCCCAGAGAATCCGGAGCTCTTGTGAGCCTTTCCCAGGCACTCCTGCTAGGGACAGGCTCCTCTGTGTCAATTTTGGCTTTTACCTACCTGGCCCTGTTCCAGAGCCCATAGGGATTGGGCCTGGGCAAGGCTGGGAGGCCACAGAGAAGGAGCCCTGTCAGCTGGATACCTGCCTCGATGGCTAATCTCAGAGCCGAGAGCTGGGTGAAGCCTGGGCCCAGCTGGAGAAACACCAGCTCCCCCAGACCCACAGCAGCCTGCGTACGCAGCTCCTCCGACAAGACGGCCAGCACGGTTTTGTGGCTGACTCTTTGAAGAGGAGAGCTGTGCAGGCATATAGTGATGCCAAGCTTAACAGTAATAGTCGCTCCTTGTGCTGAGCCTTGGCTGGGCTGGGCCCTGTGCTGACTGCTTTCCACCCATTGTCTGATTTCATCCTCATAGCCGTCCTGGGAGGCAAGGACTGGCAGTGTCCCCTCTGTGGTATCCCCAGGTATCTGGAAAATAGCTCCAGGCGTTAAATGACCCTCCCAAGCACTGGAGCAAGTGGTGGGGCTGGAATTCACATCCAGGTCTTTCTGATTAAACACCACAGCTAACAAACACTCATCACGGAGGAGAACAAAGGGCTTCGTGTCAAACCCTTTATGTGCCTTCACTTTGTTTCTCAACAGCCCTGTGAAGCAGACCTGTGGTTATTCCCACTTAACGGATGAGGAAACCGGGGCCCAGGGAGGTTGTCGCTCGCCCGTGATCGCACTGCTGGCAGGTGGCAGAGCCAGGACTCACACGGTGTCCCTTTGACTCCACATTCTGGATACTTAACCCCTTCCCCACTGTGGTCTGCACCGAAGTGTGTTTTAATAACCCAATGAAGGGGCTAATGGCCTGATTAGCAGAAATCCAGTTAGTGGATTATTACGATGATTTCCCATTACATGTATTTCGTGTGGGGAAGTCAGCCTCATACAAAAAAGTAGGTTTTCTTACCATTTACAGTGCCTATTTTTAGAAAACCTGACCCCATGTTAGAGAGCAGAGGGTTATTTTTATCCAACTGGCATGGGTCCCTCGTGGCCTCCCGAGTTTTTCTGGAAGCAATTAGTGTTGGCAGTGCACCTGCACTTATCCCGGTTTTTGGCTCTGTTCATATGCAGATTTCACGAGTGATGCAGCTCCACTGGGGAGCATTGTGGTTTCAGCGCACAGGGACCCTCCCTCCTCCCTCCCTCAGGAGAGCGTGCTGTGCTCCCCCAAGGCTGCAGACAAACTGCCAATCACCTGTCCTGTCATCAGTGAGAGAATAGCACTATGATTAAGGCGGGTGCCCTGTACCACCAGGTTCTACACTGAAACTGAATTTTTCGTTTTCAGCTTCGTTTTGGAGGGACTTTTCCTAACAAGTTATGGAGACCCTCCTTGTACGGGCGCTGTGACACTCTGCAGAGGTCCGCAGTGCCGGCCAGGCTGGGGCTGGCCTGTGCTCCTGCACGAGTGCTCCCTGACGGCGATGTTTCTGTCACTGTTCTAGTGCTCTGGAGGCTGCGGTGTCTCTTGGGGGCGAAGACTTGACCCCGTTCTACGGTCTGGTGGCTGGTGGCAGGGAAGGAAAATTCTACAGGGTAATTGTCCTCAGAGTAAACCCTTCCTAGTAACATCTAGTTAGGTTTGTAAAACAAATGTGCCCGGGGTGAACCTTCTTGCCTTTTTCAAAGCCTTTTCCCCCACTGAGCTCAAAATGTACTTTCTAGAAAATGTCCTTGAAGTCCTAATGGATGCTGCAGACTTGAGTCAAAATGTGTGTTGTGTTTCATTGTATTTGCACGCAGGAGCTGGAAGACTACTTTTACTATTCTCAACTCCGCAGTCAAGGAATTGATACAATGGAGACCAGAAAGGTGTCGGAACACATTTGCCTGTCGGAGCTTCCTTTTGTCATGAGAGCAATTGGCTTCTACCCCTCCGAGGAAAAGGTAGGCAAAACGAAAACAACAACAGCAGTAAGACATGTTATTCATGAAAACGACCTCTGGGAACAATAATTATAGGTCAAAGTAAAAATTTAATGTTATTCTTACGAAAATGGATCAAAAAGAAGGTTCTGGGCATCCCAGACACGCTCCTTAGAAGCAGACTTACCACAAAGATATTCCTTAAAGACTTCTTCCTTACCAGAGTTTGATGCTGGTAAGAGCTTGAGTTTTGGAATTAGACAGACTGGCCCCTGGTAAGTTCAAGGAGATGATGCCTGAGAAATGCCCACAAAGCACTTGGCGTGGGGCCGGGTGCAGAGGAAAAGCTCTGTAAATGGTCGTTATTGGGATAATCTTTACTGCAGCGTAGTTGCTGTTAACCTGGCCTGTGTGAATGGGGCACCTCTGGGAGGTGGGCATTCGTCCCGTGCTGTGGGCTCAGAAGACAGTTACTCCTCATCACCTCACAAAACACGCCTGGCTACAAAGGGCTCCAACGGTCCAGAAGCATTCGAGGGAAAATGGTCCTCTTAGAAACCGTGGTTTACAATGCAATTGACTGGGTTTTCTTTCAGATTTGAGATGTTAACACATTCTCATTGTAGAAAGTTTGGGCGCCCGGGTGGCTCGGTCGGTTAAGCCCCCGACTCTGGCTCAGGTCATGATCTCATGGTGTATGAGTTTGAGCCCTGCACAGAGCCAGCTTCCGATCCTCTCTCTCTGCCCCGCCCCCAAGTAAATAAACATTTTATAAAATCTTTAAAAAAAAAAAAAGCTTGGAAAAGGTACACAAATGAAATGAAGAAAATAATTACTTATAATCCCACTCTACAGACTTAACAGTTTTTAGTATTTTCCTGGATAGCTATATAAAATGTGTATATATATTTTATATGTATATAAAATTTAAAAACCTGATTGGTTGAATATACATTTTTATCCTAGATTTCCTCTCAATGTTATATCAGAAGCCTTTTCTATTTATTAATAATTCTCTGAACACATGATTTTTAAAGGATATGCCTTAATTTTATAACTTGTGTAACTATTTAGAAAATAGAACTATAAAGAAGAAAATAAAAATTATTCAGAGATAATCACTGTTAACATTTTAGTGAATTTCCTTCTATTTTATATATGGATATAGATACATCTATATTTTTAAAAAAGGATTTGGCATTATATGGCATTATGTGTATCTGACAATATAAACAGTTTGTAGAGGATGTGTGTATATACATCTATCTATCTATCTATCTACAGATCTATGTGTGTATATAGGCACACCTGTGTATATGTATATATTTGTACGTATTTGTATCAACATTCTCAGTAACTGTTGTTTTGTAAGCATGGCGGTAAAACTTCCTTGACAATATACTTTTTCCCCCCAGCTTTACTAAGATAGAATTGACATACAACACTATATAGTTTAAGGCATGCAGTTTAGTAATTTTATATATGTATTGTTGCAAAATGATCACTACAGAAGGTTAGTTAACAGATCCATCACCGCACACAGTTATAATTTTTTGGTGCAGTGAGAACTTTTAAAATCTACTTTCTAGTGACTTTCAAACATGCAATACAGTATCATTAAATATAGTCCTCATGCTGTATATTACATCCCCAGGACTTTTTCATCTTACAACTGGAAGTTTGTACCCTGGCAGCCACTCTCTGTTTTCTGTTTCTACGAGTTAGGGGTCTTTCTAGATTCCACATACATGTATTTGTCTTTCTTTGACTTATTTCACTTAGCAGAATGCCCTCAAGTTTCATCCATGTTGTCGTAAACGGCAAGATTTCCTTCTTTTTTATAGATGAATAGTGTTCCATGATATAGACATAAATCACATTTTCTTTCTTTTTTTATTCCCACCAACAGTGCAGAAGGGACCCCTTTTCTTCACAGCCTCAGCACCACTTACCTTTTGTCTTTGATGATAGCCATTCTAGCAAATGTGAAGTGATAGCTCATTATGGCTTTGATCTGTATTTTCCTAATGATAAGTGTCGTTGAGCACCTTTTCATGTTTGAATATCTTTTTTGGCAAAATGCTTATTCAGATATTTAGCCCATTTTTAAATTGGGTTATTTATTTTTTTGCTCTTGGGTTATATGGTTCCTTATATACAATAGTAGCCCCACATAGTAGATATGTGGTTTGCAAATATTTTCTCTTATTCATTTTCATTTTACTAATTTCTTTTTGTTGTGCAAAAGCTTTTTTTCTTACTACAAATCTTTTTATTTTATTTATTTTTTATTTTTATTTTTATCTTTTTACAAATAGTTTATTGTCAGGTTAGTTTCCACATAACACCCAGTGCTCATCCCCACGAGTGCTCTCCTCCATGCCCATCCCCCCCTCCCCCCCACATCCATCAGTCCTCAGTTTTTGTCAGCATTCAAGAGTCTCTCATGGTTTGCCTCTCTCCCTTTCCCCCACCATTTCCCCCCTTCTTCTCCGCCTTGTTCCTCCGTCAAGTTCCTCCTAATCCTCCTATACGTGCAAACATATGATATTTGTCCTTCTCTGCCTGACTTATTTCGCTCAGCATAACACCCTCAAGGTCCATCCACGTTGCTACACATGGCCAGATTTCATGGTTTCTCATTGCCATGTAGTATTCCATGGTATAGATAAACCACATCTTCTTGATCCATTCGTCCATTGATGGACACTTAGGCTCTTTCCATGTTTTAACTATTGTGGAGAGTGCTGCTATGAACATTGGGGTACATGTGCTCCTATGCCTCAGCACTCCTGTATCCCTTGGGTAAATTCCTAGCAGTGCTATTGCTGGGTCATAGGGGAGTTCTATTGTTAGTTTCCTGAGGAACCTCCACAATGTTTTCCAGAGGGGCTGCACCAGTTTACATTCCCACCACTGTGTAGGAGGGTGCCCGTTTCTCCACATCCTTGCCAGCATCTAGAGTTCTCTGATTTGTGCAAAAGCTTTTTAAAAAATTTTAACATTTATTTATTTTTGAGAGAGAGGGAGAGAGAGGGAACATGAGTGGGGGAGGGGCAGAGAGAGAGGGAGACAGATCTGAAGCAGGCTCCAGGCTCTGAGCTGTCAGCACAGAACCTGACATGGGGCTCAAACTCACTGTGAGATCATGACCTGAACCAAAGTTAGACGCTTAACCAACGGAGCCACCCAGGTGCCCTACTTTTTTTTTTTTTTTTCCATTTTCAGCTTTGTTTTGGAGGGAATTTTCCTAACAAGTTTATGTAGTTTTCCTCCCCTTGTTTGGCACCTGTTTGGTTTTTGTGGTTTTGTTTCTTTGTTTGTTTGTTTACGTAGACTGACCCCAGAGAGTGAAAGGGACAGGACTGGCTTGTCCAAGCAGAGCTGGGGAAAGAGACCCACTCCCTGTGTGTTGAGAGCTCCAGATTGTGAATTCTGAGGACTGTTAGTGGCCATGTTCCCTCTGGGTGACTAAATCCATTGTGCTGAGAATGAAGCCAGTAGCAGAGCCGGGCAGAGAGCATATGGTGAGGGCATCGTGTTCACACAGTCCCTGTGCCTCCTGCATCGTGGTTACCTGAGATGCCCATGACCTTCTCACTGATCTCCCTTTGTGCTTCAGCTGGCTTTCTAATACTTGCAACAAAGAAAAGGGGGTCGTTAGGGCACAAAGGGGAAGTATACTTATAGAGCAAGTGGGGAAGTGGTACAGAGGGAGAGAGAGAATCTTAAGCCAGGCTCCATGTTCACCACTGAGCCTGACTCAGGGCTTGGTCCCAGAACCCTGGGATCATGACCTGAGCCAAAATCAAGAGTGGGACATTCAACTGACTGAGCCACCCAGGTGCCCCTACACCCGTTTTTAAACTCCCCATTACTTTTTATGCTCAAGCTCATACCCACCTGGGGTCCAGCTGCCATGCTCAAATAGGAGCAGAAAGACCCAGATTCAAATACCACCATTCCTGCCTGCTTGCTCTATGACCTGGGGCTAGTAGTCCCTTAACTTCTGAGTCTCAGTTTCTCCATCTGTTAAATGGGAATACCATCAGTGTTTTGAGGGTAAAGATGACCACTGCTGCTATTCCTGCCTGCCTCCTCCCCCAGGGGGCATTTGCTGAACACTTACTATGTGCTAATTACAGTGTTCACTGCTTCTCCTTACTGGGCTCCTGTCCCAGAAGTCTGTCTTGGCATACTGTAGGTTTTCAAGGCCCTACTTGTATGGGCAATGACATCCTGCAGAGGTCCTCAGTGCCCACCAGACCCGGGCTGACCTGTGTTCGGTTTTTAAAAATGTTTGTTTATTTTTTGAGAGACAGAGTGTAAGTGGGGGAGGGGCAGAGAGAGAGGGAGACACAGAATCCGAAGCAGGCTCCAGACTTGGAGCTGTCAGCACAGAGCCCAATGCAGGCTCAAACCCCACAAACTATGAGATCATGATCTGAGCTGAAGTCGTACACTCAACTGACTGACCCACCCACGCACCCCAGAAGCTTTTTTTTTTTTTTTTTACACTTATTTAGAGGGCAAGAGCGAGAGAGCAGTGTGCACACACCCAGGAGCAGGGGAGGGGCAGAGAGAGAGAGGGAGAGAGAGAATCCCAAGCAGGCTCTGTGCTGCCTGGTGTAGGGTGTGATCCCACAAACTGTAAGATCATGATCTGAGCCCAAACCAAAAGTTGGATGCTCAGTCGACTGAGCCACCCAGGCATCCCTGCCCTGTGCGGGAGTTTTTTAGTTTGATATAGACGGCGTGATTTTTACAGGCTGTGTACTTCATTGAACCAGCCCCCAGCTGACAGACACGTAGGTTGTCTTGAAGTGTTTGGCTGTCAGAGACATGGTTGTGATGAGCATCTCTGTGTATAGTTTTTGCATACTCCTCTGATTATTTTCCAGTCTCAGCGTCCTAGAAATAGAATTACTGGGTCAGAGTAGGAACTTGAAGGCTCTGCTGCCAAACAGCTTTCCAAAAATGTAGCATTTCACAGTCCACCATCAGGCATACAGAAGGCCTGCAACACGGCTAAGACGCGGTGCCCACACTGGTGGCTCGGTGCATTCTAGGGGTGTAAGCCGTGGTCCCCGTTATTTCTCCTGCCTTTGGAGGCCCACATAGCACCACCTGTTTTTGTGTGCTCGGGATACGACCGGAAGATGACTTTTAATTTCCAGATAGTGCCTGGAAAGCTGAGCTCTGAGAGCCCACAGACTCATGCAGAGCCCGGGATGGGGGGAGGCGCCTTGAGCTCAGCAGGTATTCTGCTGAGCTCCCCCAAAGGTTGTTTGACCCATGTACATTCTGTAAAAGTACATGCCTGGAAATGGAAGCAAGTACAGAGAGAGTTGATGCAGCCCACGTGAAAGTGCTCCTCAGGGCCGTCTCTGAAGCATGTGCTCCTCCTGGGACTTTGGCTCCCAAGGGGGCAGGCTGCATCACAGTTACCTGGAGCACTTACTGAAGAGGCAGATTCCTGGGCCCATCTTGGGTTTAGCCAAGCAGAATCTCCAGGCACCCGACCTGGCAATCTGCATCCCCCCCCGCCCCCACCAGGTTCCAAACCCCTGTCTTAGCACATTGGCCCCTGACACGTTTACCTAGGCCACCTATGCTGGAGGAAGGACAGTTCAGCACAGTGAAACAGGATTATCGGTCAGGACTCTCCTTTGGTTACAGGTTACAGAAACCTGAGGTGAACTAGTTTTTGGTTCACGGAACTCCAAGTCTAGAGGCAGCAGAAATGCCCAGTGTAACCTAATCCAGGTGCTCATGCCGCCTCCAGAGGGCGTCCTTCTCCCGGAACCTCACCTCCGTGGTGCCTTTCTTCTCCGTGGGTCCCTCAGCCCATGTTCAGTGGGCACAACCCCAGAGCCCTGGCCACCTGCCACTGTCCTTGGGCAGGTGCTACTCAGGTTGGCCAGGCCTGGATGCTCCCTGCACATGGAATCAGAGGCAGGGTCAGCCACCTTGACCATGAGGACTCTGGGGTGGAATGGTCTCCAAATGGAATTCTGCATAGAAAAAAAATGAATCCATTATTCCAAGGCTTTAGAAGTTTACTGAAGGGACACCTGGGTGGCTCAGTCAGTTAAGTGTCCAACTCTTGATCTCGGCTCAGGTCGAGATCTTACAGTTCGTGAGTTCGAGCCCTATATCAGGCTCTGTGCTGACAGCATGGAGCCTGCTTTGGATTCTCTCTCTCCTCCTCTCTGCCCCACTCCCACTCGTGCACGTACTCACTCTCTCAAAATAAATAAATAAACTTTAAAAAATAATAAAAAGTTTACCAGACATTGGGAGTCTTGAAGGGAGGTGTATACATGCAGGATGTCACCCCCAAACAACCTGATTGTAGAACCTCTCTTGGCTCAGTCTGGAAATATTGCCTTCAACTTCTCACTCAGGCTCTACTCCCTTGGAATTTCATCTTCTTTACTGTATCTATGGTTTGTCTTCTCTTTTTTTTAGCCAAACATTTATCTTAAGCTAATACCCATCTTCTTGGGGGATTGGCTGGCATAACGCCTAGTACTTCCAGACTGAGGAGGAGGGAAAAGCAGATGTTGTAGGAAGTGCAGGGATGTAGAACCTGGCTGACCTACTGGCTCCCTTGGCAAGTCATTTCTACTATAGTCTGAGTTCCTGTGTCCCCATCTGTCAGATGAGGCTGGAAGCAGCTCTGACCTCACAATGTCATTGCGAGGACCTGAGGACAGGAATCCAAGGAGCACATCCCCCCACCCCCCGTCCAGTATCACACAGAGTAGGTACTTACTCAGCCTTTCTTCTTACTTCAGTATTTCCTGTCAAAATGGTGTGTTCTTTTTGTTTGTTTGTTTGTTTAATGTTTATTTATTCTTGAAAGAGAGAAAGAGAGAGGGAGGGAGCACAGGTGGGGGAGGGGCAGAGAGAGAGGGTGACACAGAATCCAAAGCAAGTTCCAGGGTCTGAGCTGTCAGACAGAACCTGACACAGGGCTCTAACTCACGAACTGTGAGATCATGACCCGAGCTGAAGTCAGTTGCTCAACTGAGCCACCCAGGTCCCCCAAAATGGTGTGCTGTTTTAAAGAGATCGATGGGATTGCCCCTCTTTTACTTATTTTTAACTCTTTATTTTGGAAAATTCCAGACATGGCCAAAAGCAGAGAAAAGAGTGTAATACCCTGTTGTGTACCCATCAGTCAACTTCAACACTTGTCAATTGTCATATCTATCCAGACCCACCAACTTCCTCTCCACCTGTGGCCTATTCTGAAGCAGGTCCCAGGCACTCCTACTTCACGGGGCTGAGTGTTCCTTACTCAGCCATTCAGCTGGGGAGAGGACCCTCCCCGACCTGGTAGGTGTCTCCAGCTCACGGTCACTCATGTCCTGTGGGCAAGTGCCCCTCAGTGCCTCTCTGTAGGTCTCAGACCCAAGCCGTTCTAGTCGGGACACAGCACCCAGTAGCTGTTGGGAGCCAGGCGCCCAGGTCAGGGGGTTCTGGGGCAAAGAGTTGGTCGAGTTCCTGCATCTCTCCGAGTCTCTGGCTCCTTGTCTGTAAAACGGAGATAGTAGAAGTGCCCACCTCCTGGAATGACTAAAGATTTAATGAGCATCTATGTAGCACAGGACATGGCACATGTTAAATTTTCGGAGAATACTGCCCAGTGTTACTGTCTTCATCATCAGGTCCTCAGGTCTGGATGTGTGATTGTAAAAGGCCTTTAGACGAACGCTCCTCCGGATGGCCTTGTGATTCTTTGCTCACAATTTCCTTTCCAAAATCAGTTCATTGTTTTCTTAACTCATCTGAAGGGCACTTAAATCACTGAAAGTCATCAAACTGATGTAGGCTTCTCATTCAGGACTTTTTTTTTTGAAGGGCTTTTTCTTTCCTTCCTTCCTTCCTTCCTTCCTTCCTTCCTTCCTTCCTTCCTTCCTTCCTTCCTTCCTTTCTTTCTTTTTTTTAAGCTCTTCACCCAGTGTGGGGCCTGAACTCACGACCCTGAGATCAAGAGTTGCAGGCTCTACCGACTGAGCCAGCCAGGCACCCCTTTCAGGATTCTTGACTTTCCACCCTGAGCTCATAGAAGTGTGTCCATGTCCTCTGCAGTCCTGCCTGGTTAGTGAGGGAATTCTGGGCATTTAGCCTTAGTGACCATCACTCACCTGGCACATGAGCTGCTACACACAGAGGGTGACCAGCCTTTCCCTGCCTCCTGCCAAAGCAAGGATAGTAATCAGCTAAGGCATGTACTATCCAGTCCCTGGCAAAGTGCAATAGCGCCTGACAACCTCCCCGGGTCTTACTGATGAGTAAAAGGTACCCAGAAAAAAAAGTTTGTCTCCCAACAAATGTCATAAAGTGACAGTGAGCATTAGTTACAAACATAAAGAGAAATAAAAATGGTGATTGTAAGGTTTTCACTGTCTGTCATATACATCTCTCCCCGCCGTTATAAAGGAGACTTTCAGTGCCCTGCTCGAATGCCTTTATTAATCCCTTCGACTCCAGGGTTTTTAATCCACCTAAAAAAAAAATACACTCACTCTTTGGCGATGTTTTCTGAAGGCCCCCGATCCAGATGTGGCCACATCAGTGTGCAAACTTTGCTAGCTGATGAGTCAGTTTATATCTGAAGCTGCACAGGGAGAGCTTTTTTGGTCTCTTGTTTTCACATCAGATTTATAGCGTTTTCAATAAAAATGTTTTCAGGGCTTTGAAACTTTTAAATCCAGGCTTTGTCGTGGTTCATGAAACATTTCCTATTAAGATGCAGCTGTCCCCGCCCCACCCCCCAAAAGCTGCATGAGAAAGTGCACCCGGCTAAACTTCTTACATAAAAGACTCAGTCACAGAGGTTCAAACCCCCCTGCCAAGGCTATACGTTATTTATATTTTTCTTACGTCATTTTAACTGGCTTGGGGATTTGAATCTAGTCAGTGTGGTAAATTGGAGCCAAACTAAACAAGGATATGACCCTCCCCAAAGAATCCCTAACCACTCCCATCCTTTGCAGATCACCGTACCTAGCTGCTCTTTTAAATCTTCAGGGGGTTTTGTTTGTTTTTTGTTTTCTTTTCTTTTAAATGTAATGTTTGTTTATTTTTGAGAGAGAGAGAGAGAGAGACAGAGCACAAGTGGGGGAGGGGCAGAGAGAAAGAGGGGGAGACACAGAATCCAAAGCAAGCTCTGGCCTCCAAGCTGTCAGCACGGAGCCCCACTCAGGGCTCAAACTCACAAGGCGTGAGATCATGACCTGAGCCAAAGTCAGACACCCAACTGACTGAGCCACCCAGGAGCCCCACAAAACTTCATTTTTTAAATGAAAGATTTAAACTGTTCATAATGTTATAGAAGGAACCAAAACTTAGGTGTCACCATTTTCTATAGCTGAGTTCACAGAAGACAAAGTTTCATCTTCTATCTTTATAAGTTTTCTTTTCCTCCAGGACTTTGGAGAATCGTGTTGGGACAGGGCCCACGTGTCACATGTGTTCCCTGGTTACTTGCGGCTCCGTTTCTATTTAGCTTGCAGAGTGGTGTTTAACCCTGGTAGGTTTTTGTAGTGAATTAACAGTAGTGTAACCGCTTAGTTCGATAAATGTAAGGCCAACCCTAGCAGAGGCATCTGTTTGTAGCAAATATTGGTCAGGTGAGTGAATGAATGAATAAATGATGCTCTTTGGTCATATGTGCTGCAAAGACAGCAAGGAAAATAGAATCCCAGCCATGATTATTTGATCTCAAAGTAGTTAATAGTACTCATGAAGTATTCGGTACATTCAGCAGCAACACTTTATCATTGTTTAGGAATGTCTGGAGAGAAAATAAATAATTGCTTAACTTTTGATTTTTATTTCTTTTTTTAAAAGTTTTTATTTATTTATTTTGAGACACAGATAGCACGAATGGGGAGAAGCAGAGAGTGAAGGGAAGAGAGAGTCCCAAGCAGGCTCCATGCTGTCGACAAGCACAGAGCCCAATGTAGGGCTTGAACTCACAAACCGTGAGATCATGACCTGAGCCAAACCAAGAGTTGGACACTTAATTGACTGAGCCATCTAGGCGCCCCAACAACCATTTAACTTTTTACAGGTACATGTCTTTGGACCCACCTAATCTACTTTTAGGAGCATATCCTCCAGAAAAACTCACACAAGTGTACAGTGATGTGCATATGTAAGGGACAGTTGCTACATATTTTCCTAGTAGTGAAACAAAACAACCCTAATGTCCGTTCATAAGAGATGGGGTAAATAAAATAAGACAGACCTAATTTAGAAGTCCTTAAAAAGTGACGTATGTTTGTTGATTCAGAAAGAATGTTCAGGTTTTGTTATTTAAATGGAAAAGGGAAAAACAGTATGTAAAGCATAAGCTCATTTCATTAATAATTTATATATTCGCTCACGCCTAGCAAAACTCTGAAAGAACATGCTCCAAATGTTTAATGACATTGATTTCTGAGGGCTGGGATTTGGGAGAACTTTTGCTTCCTAATCTATACGCATAACCCCATGTCCACAGAGGCCTCTGGTACCAACAGGAACCTGGCTCTGGTCTATGCCAGTCAGAGTTTCGTGGCTACCTGGGGTGGGGTGTGCAGACTCTGTCTAGCCCACCTCATTCCAGACCTGACACTCAGCTCATTCCTCGGTTTCCACAAAAACACAAAGCCCATTCACACAAGACAGCTTTCTTGACAATTTGGGAATTGTCAGAAAGAGTCACACGTAATGCATTTCACAGCAATTTACCTAAAACTGTTTTGAGACCTTCCCAGTCCTGACAGTCACCCCAACAGGGGTTTCCTCGCTGGCCTTTACTCCACGCTAAACCCCGTGCCCTGTGCCCCCTCTTTCCTGGTGCGCCCCCAGGAACCGCGCTCTCCCTCTGCTAGCCACGGCAGCTGGGCTCTTCCTAGCTGGTTTCCAAGCCTGCAGCATAAGCCCATCTCCCGGGTCTGTAAATGAAAACACTTCCCACTTAGTGGCCTGTACCATCCTCAGAAGACAGTTGTGGTTATGTATGGGGTGGGGGAGGGGGCTCCCCCATACAGTTCTGTAGTATTCTAATTTATTCTAATTTTTCTTAGCTGCAAGCATGTAGCTTGTGTTGCTTTTGTATCTAGAACAAAACCCAGAAAGATAAACAAACAAATCCTCTCAAAGCCGTTTGTGCTAATCTTGGGGCTAAACTGTGGTCCCAGCTGGAACAGAGGGCCCGGAGCCAAGCAGCACAGCCTTCCCCGTGCAAGGAGGAGAGGCCTGAGCCGGTGGTCATGGGCACAGTTTCTGCTCTGATAAAGACCCCACGGGAACTTGGCGACTTGCACTTTGACAAGAAGCCCTTACTATGTTGCATTTGCTCTGAAACAGGAATGTCAGGAGTCATTTCCATGGCCCACTGTTCTAGGGAGGCCTTCCCGCTCAGCTGAGTCCCTACACCAGTGAGCACTGTGTCCCCCCTTCAGGGAGATGAGGGCGAGACAAAACGATTTCTGTTGCTCACACTTTAATGCATTTAAAGAAAGAAATCCCGAAATGCCACGCAGCCATTAAGAAAGAGCTCAGGTGACCATAATGCCATAAGTGCACCAGGACCAGCACCCGCACCAGCACCCGTACC